GGGGGATTAACTACATACATAATGTTGTTGTAGATGCATCTCTTGTGTCATTTCATTTAACTCTCCAAAACACCTCATGTGTCAGGTGTTTAATTGCTATGAGTCACGTAAGGATTTGACACTTGAGTTAGGAAACCGGCCCCTATCTATCCAGGTAATAAGATAAAAACCCAAAGCACTGAATTTCAAAGACCTTATTTTCCCCCGTGCTGTACTGCAGGGCTAACACAGGAGAGCACACACTTTCCAGACTCACTGTGTCTTCACCGCAGCACTAGGCAGCAGCTACTCAGAAACAGTTTGCCGAGGCTTGGACGTTCCTGGATGGATCTCCTCAGAGCCCTGTCTCTGTCCTTCTGACTTCAGCGATCCTGGGACTGTAGGGGCCACTGAAGGACTGCATTTAGGTCCGTGCTTCTGTAAACAACAGGTTCCTTAACAGAACCGTGTTGAGCACTACAGCAGTCCTAGGATCTGCCTCTGCTTCTTCTTCTTTTTTTTTTTTTTTATTGAGTTTATTGGTACATTAGGGATACAGTACAGTTACATTCATTGTTGGGATCATGTACCTCTGCATGGCAAGTCTTGATTCTCATTTTTTTCCCCTTACCTCTGCCCTCCCTTCACCCCCTCTCCCCTCCCCATCTACAAACACTTTATTTTCATCTTTTCATTCTCTCACATTTTTTTCTTTTCCCTTTTTGTTCTTCTTCTGTCATTTTCTGATGCCCTGGAAAAGACTCCATTGTCTGATGCAGGTAAAAGAATGTCTTGATCTTTTTTGTTGTACCGGGAATTGAACTCAGGACCTTGCACTTGAGAGGCAGGCGCGGTGCCACTGAGCTAAATCCCTGGCCCTGTCTTGATCTTTTGATTTTTAAAAAATACAAGGCTATAGTTTCTCTGGTGTGAGAAAATGAAAGTGTAAATAAGGACTGAAGGGTAAAATAGATAATGGGAAATAGTAGGAAAGGGGGAAAGAGAAATGGAAAGTGGGAGGAGGGGTAGGGGAAGGGAAAGAAGGGAACGGAATTAATATGAGAAAACGAAGACAATGGAAACAAAGTCTGTAAATATGAAGGGGCAGAGGGGTTGGAGGGAAGGCAGGGGAATGGAGAGAAAATAAGAACCAAGATGGATTATGTAAAGGTGCAAATTCCCAATGATGAATGTTATTACACTGTAAACCTAAAATGTGCCAATGAAATTAATAATATGATGAAAAGTACAAGGCTATCCATTTGTTCCACTCAAAAATAAATCATTCCATAGAGTTGGAGCATTTTGCATGAGAAGAAAAAGAATTAGTGTCATGTTTAGTTTTTTTTTTTTTTTCGGTTCTAAAACTTCAGAATTGGTTGTTTTTGTATGGAAGATGAGTTGAAGATAATAGTAAAGGCAATTATCTGGTCTTAAACATCATGATAATACTCCAAAATGATAAACTACCCTATAGATATTACATAGCTTTATCATAATTGCTGTTACTCTAAAAGTTGTAAATTTGGACAAAAAATAATTATGAAGATGATGATACTATTTTCTGGCTCCCCAAGGTGCTTCTCCATGATTTAAGACGTATCATCGGCTCCCACCCAGCCCTTACAATCTCATTTCTTATTCTCTATTACAATAGTACCTCTCCTTTCACCAACTTTGTGTTGTTGCTGATGGTAAGTACCCATTGTATACTCTGGCACTAGCCTTCCGTCAGAGGCATTCACTAATCTTAAGTGTTCCTCCCTCCAGTGCCCTACTCTTAGCCAAACTCTACTTTCTGTCAGGTCACACATCAAGTCCACTTGCCCATGTGCTGCCTTTCCCGGTTCATTGAAGCCCGTCTGCCTTCCATTTTAACGCCGCTTAACACTGGAACCAGCTCCCAAGCTCTCACTGATTGGTTAATGTTACACGTGTGTGCAGGGAAGAGAGCAAATAGATGTTTAGCAGGGAAACTTAGTCTGCGTATCCTTTTTCCTCCATCAGATAGATAGATGGTTGTTTCCACTGGCGCCCACTGCTTGTAAGTCAGACGCTGCTCTTTAGGCTCCCTCCAGTCTGGATCAGGGCACAGAGGGCGCGCCTTGCTTTGTGTTCCTAAGCGCAGAAATACTGGTACTTCTACTGATCTTCTATATCCATAATTCCCTTACTTGTCCCACAACGATAGTTCTGTTTTGTCCCATTCTTTCCTGCTGGATAAACACTAAAATTTAATCCAGGGGTGTGTTTCATTTAGAGAGTACAAAGTGCAAGAGGTAGGAGAAAGGAAAGAAAGAAATATGAGAAAAGGAAAAAATGGAAACAGAGTCTTTGTAAATAGGAGGGTGGAGGGGTGGAGGGGTTGAAGGAAAAGCAGGGTAATGGGGAAAAAATAAGAACTACGATATATCATATAAAGGTACAAATTCCCAATGATGAATGTGATCATAATATATATCTAAAATGTACCAATAAAATTAATGAATTTTTAAAAAGTACAAAGTGCCATCACTATTTTATTTCCTTGGCTGGATTAGCATATATTTACATAGTTGTTACCCAGTTTCATTGAGGCATACCTCTGTGTGAGAAAACCAATTAGTAAAGAAGAAATTTAAACACACCTAAGCCACTTAGTGTTGCAAAAAAGAGAGAGGAAAAAAAAAGCAACAGCTTTTCGGAAGATGGATTTGCATAATTCATGCCTTGCTTCCCACTGGTGGCAGGTGTGACCAAACATGAAAAAGGCAATTTAGCACTGAAATATAGATTTTGAAAATCATTTCTAATCAGCCATTTCACATCCTGCTGACAGGAAAGATGGCTCCGTTTAGATCGTTTCTAATTAAAAGAAGCACTGTGTACTTTTTATTCTTACTTCTTAGTAAAAACAAATAAACAAAAACATTGAGCTACTAAAAAAGTGAATCTTCTGATGACTTGAAAACAAGATTCCTGTTTTCCTTCCTCATCTAACCACAACTGAATGTGTAGGAGAGGTGAAGACATTCTTACCAGCAAAGGAATAAAGGAACGAAGTTCTCCAGCCCTCCCTACCCATTCATTCCGCTGTGCAATTAAGTCTCACAGTGAGGAAACCCACTGCCAGCCTACATACTTCCCACTGCATAGTCAGTCCCTCCAACGCTTTCCTCCACTGAGGTGGAAAGAGGCAAATAACCCTTTCTTCCCATATGGCCGGCCTTCAAGTCACCCCACATCCTACAGAAAATAGGAAAACAGAATCACTGCCTTCATGACAAATCACTAATGTCAGGACAAAGTTTCAAAAATTAATTCATTTGCTTGTTTGCTAATCCTCCACGTCAAAGTTGTCTCTGCTCCTATTCCTCACCTAAAAAACAGCCCAGGAATGTCAAGGAAGGTCCAGTGATTGCCAGTTAATGTCACAGTGCCTGGCACCTTCTGCATCTTCCGAAGTGAGCGGAAACTTTCCATGTACCTCCTACAAGCATGGTGTCACTCTACATATAGATTATCCAGCTGGTAGATTTATCCATGACCAACACGGATAGCAATAATAGCGAGGATGGCAATAATGATCAATGCTTACTGTGTGCTCTGCTGTTCTATGTGCTTCAATCTATTAACATTTTAACCTTCCAAACAGTCCCATAAATGTTCTACGAAGTAGGTACCACTATTATCCTGATTTTACAAATAAGGAAATGAAATCATCGCACACATACATCATTTTCCCCGGATGGGTTCCTTGTGGGCATGAGCCAGCGTTTGAACCCAGACAGACTGGCACTGGGGCTAAAACTCAGAACATGTAACTGTAACGCGTCAGCTTACAGAAAGCGAACAACTAGAATTTTTTAAAGTTTCTAAGGTATATATCGGCTTAGACTTTGTGGGCTCTTCACTATCAGGGAGCTGAGTAATAAAAATGCACCGCTCAGACATCTTTTCTAACATAATCTGCTGCAAATGGCTTATTACTTTTCTTAACCCTACCATCATCTTTCGACCACTGTGTTTTTTTATTGAACCTACGGGGTTCAACGTGGAAGAACAGATCAGAGCTGTAACCCTACGCGATCACAAGAGAAACACAAGCCTGTCCAGATCCTGAGGAGCGGGAGAAGTTGGATGTGTGGCCTTTTCTTCATATCTGAAATTTTACTTCTGATTCAACCTACAGAAGACAGACTGCTTTGTCTCCAGGGTATTAGAAGTCTATTTACAGGAAGTAACAAAGGCATAATGAGGATACAGTTTCCTCTGCTGCTTTGCGCAGGCTTGAGTGGACGACAAGAATGAAGAGAGCCAAAAGACTTCAGGATGACAGAGATGGCAAGAAGTGGAAGAAAATGACTCAGTACAAGTTTTCATCATCATCAAAACACTCGTTCCTCTAGCAGTAACCTTCATCATGCGTGCAGCCTCCTTTATCCTTAATTTCTTTGTAAAGCATTTTTTACTTACGGAAATAATTAATTCATCATTCTCTTTTCCCTTTTAAATGTTGAATAAACCAATGAAACCTGTAGAGTTCTCCAATGTCATTGTGGAAAAAGTCAATATTGCTTTTGGTGGAAAAAAGTCTTATTCATAAGTAAAGTACTGACAGAGATGAAAGGACACAAAAGAGCTTTATTTATGTTCTCTAAGTAAAAATTTTAAAATGATGGGGGAAATCATACAAAAGCTTCAAAACAAGCAGCCACATGTTTCTATGCTAGGTTACTACAAACCTTTACACAGAAGTGAAAAACATTGATATTTCCTCACGTGAGGAGCACTGTCTCCTAATTTCCTCAACATAGGTCCACTTGTCTTAAGTCTGTATATCACCAATTTCTCCATCAGCATGCTCCTGAGGGTGGAGGGACACTAACAATCTTTCAGATATTGTAGGATGTGTTCTAGTCCCATTTGCTGAAAACAAATCACTCTTCTAAGGGGTCATGTTTTATACGAACAATTCATGCAAAGGTGACCTTCTGTTCCTTGAGAAAGATCTTGTTTTAGTACAAAATGCTTTCCTCCAATTAGTTGAGCAAAACTGATACTTCAGAAAGATGACTGCAGCTTCACATGGTTTTCCCTATCCTGTGCTGGGAGTAAGAGAATCACAGTTTAGGAGTCCAACCTCATGGCAGCTAAGGGAACTCTTCAACATCATCTCTATTAACACTCAAGCATAAGAAGTTAAATAAGATGGAAGAACACACAAACAAAAGAAACCTCTTCACAAATGGCAAATAGATTTGTTTGAACTTAATTACTTCTGTTTTAGCATCTAAAAAGGGATGACAGTTAAGCGCTCCTTATCTTTCAGCTAAAACACTCAGAAATGTCAGTCAGTCTCATAAAAAAGGTCAATATAATCAACTAAGTGCCTTCACATTATTTTTATCCAGTTTCCTAAATTTCCTGGTCATATGCACAGGAAACATCCAGTGTGTAGTGTTTTTCTTAAAGAGTTTGAGAAGATACCAAATAGGAAAACACACTCATCTCCAGTCTCTGGCTCAATAAGTGTGTGTGTGTGTGTGTGTGTGTGTGTGTGTGCTGAAATGTTCATTTCTGACTATGAAGTGGACTGATCTTTCTTCTCCATTTCTAATTTGGCTCAGAGATCTCACTTTGACTAGACTGTTGTGCACTCTTCTCTAAAACAAATTGAGGAGCTTGGTTTGGGGAGTTGGAGTTCACAAAACTATTGACAGTTAATTACTGCTAAATAGTTCTGGGGGAAGACACCAACTTTTAAGAAGCTGATCACAAAATTTGCTACATTGCAAACAGAACAGTAATGTAAACTTATTACTGATAAGACAAACAATGAGACTGGTTGCATGAAAAATTGGGTCCCATTTCAAATGAGATAATATACACAAAGTTAAACAAAATACATAGGCACCTAGAAAGAGTACTGTACATATTAGCTTTTATGTAACATCAGTACCTTCTGAATACATTCTTCTCTTTGAAAATGTCTTAGCTTCATCTGCTTATTTCCCTTGACTATGATGCTCCAGGATCGATGACATAGTGTTTATAAAGTGTTTTGAATTCCCTGAAGTGTTATAATCAACCCAAGTATCATTTTATTTATGCAAACTGTGTCTACGCAGCGAGTCCTCTTAAACATCTAGGACTGGGAACTGCTGTCTCATAAGGCTTAATAAATTATTCCCTCCGGCTCTAAAAGCAAGTACTTTTTCAATGACAATGGGAGAGAAAGCAAAGGAATTGCTCTGTGGCATCTGTTGTGTAGTGCTCTCCTAATGGCGCAGCGTGATAAATGCATGAGGGTCCTTGGAGAGTTACAGCACACACTGAAGAGAGATTGGTAAAACTCCCAGTACCTCTGAAAAGGAAAGCGAAACAGGTCAGTGGCAGGAAGACCCCTTCCCCTGTGTACATTAATGACAACAACTACAGTGCTCATGGTAATCCTCGCTTCACACAGAAGGGCAACTTCCTAGGGTTTCTGATGAGAGACAAAATTAAACATGACATTGAGATGGAGAGGTGAGGAGGTGGTGTAGAGGAGAGAGGAGAAAAAAATACTACTGTACAATTCAGAACTAGGGAAAATGTACAAAACCTACTTGTGTGATCTTCCTGGACCCACTAAAGCCAAAACGGCAATTTTAAATTACACTGATGTTCTCTATGTGTTCCGTGTGACATATGTTTTCAGATATTTCATGACAGTGGGGGAATGAACGAAGATCAGTCAGATTAACTTTTAGAAGAAAATTAGCTAAAAGAAGCAGAATAAGATTGCACAACTAACCACCAGCCTCTAAACCCAGGCAGCTTTGGACTTTGTCTGGTTCCTCCCCATGCGTTGGCGACAGACTTTGACTTCAAAAGCAGAGCGCTTGGTGGGAAGGACTCGTTTACAGAGGCAGCAAAGTCCCAAAGTCCACAAGAAGATGTGGCTCTGCCAGTTACTTTTTATATGACTTCTTGTTTCCTGCCTACCAGTAATACTTACAAATATTTGAAGTGAGTAAAATAATATACATAAAACATGATAACTTCCGGGCTAAAATGCTACATGAACACCACCAACTATTATCATTTAATTCATCTAAATTATTGAAAAGGAAGTAAAGCTGCCATTTTCATGTATTTATTCATCTTACCTTTAAATAGAGAAATCCCTTGAGAAACCCCCTAAAGAAACGTCTATGATGAGCTACGCACACTCATACCTGTATTTTATAACCTTTTGTCTCATTATATTTGAAAAGGCTTTCACGGAATTCGCAGATCCAGTATTTTAATGTAGAAAGGTCAATACTTGCTTTGCCGTACTTGCCGGGGAAAACCATAGCACATAGACTCTTTGTTTACCTCCAAGTCATCATCAGGGATAGCTCTTCTCCACTTCACGTTCCACCTGATGTGTTCGTAGGCATTGACCACAACCTCGATTGCTTTGGGACAAGAATGGCAGGCCTGTATCACCTGCAGGAAAGCACATTTTCATCTATTCAGTGCACACATCTGATTCATGCATTTTGTTCACAGAAACAGTAAGAATTCATAGGCCATGGCCAGGTGGAGTAGCATGCACCTAGAGTCTTGGTAACTCAAGAGGCTAAGGTCCAGGAGTTTGAAAATAGCCTGAGTTAGGCCCTGGGGAATACTGAAGTGCTTTTTTATTTTTTATTTTTTGGTACATTTTAGGTATACAATACATTTACATTTATCACTGGGATCTTGCACCTTTGCATGATACATCTTGGTTCTTATTTTTCCCCATTCCCTAGCCCTCCCTTCACTCCCTCCTCTCTTCTCTATTTTCAAAGGATTTTTTTTTTTGGCTTTTCTCATATTTTTTCTTTTCTCTTCTTACCTCTCCTCTACTCCTCCCACTTCCCTACACCTTTAGACCTTTTCTTCCCATTGGCATACGAAAAGACTTTATGAACAAATCCTCAGTAGCACAGGAACTAGCACAAAGAATCAACAACTGGGATCTCATCTTTTTAAAAAGCTTTTTTTTGCACTGCAAGAGAAATCACAGGCAGAACTAAGAGACAACCTACATTGTGGGGAAAAAAATTTACCAGCTGTTCCTCAGACAAGGTCTACTACCTAAAATATATTAAGAACTCAAAAAAATCAGATCCCCCAAATATAAAGACCCAATTCAAAAATTGGCATCTGAAATGAAGTGCTTTTGAGAAGTCTCATGTCTATGAGTATTCAAACACAATGCCAGTCACCATGAAGGATGGGGAGTCTAATAAAATCAAAGTAACTAACTGCCTTCACCCAGAATTAGTGAAAGCAAAGTGATAACAAAGAAGGTAGGAACCTGAAAGATTTTTATCAGCAAATAAAACATGACGTGAAATTTAAATATTTCATTAGCATACTCTGTTCAATAGCTCTTCAGCTATTCAAAAAGAAAGAAGAGGGAAAAGAGGGAGGGAGAGAGGGAGGAGGAAGGAAGGAAGGAAGAAAGGAAGGAAGGAAGGAAGGAAGGAAGGAAGGAAGGAAGGAAGGAAGGAAGGAAAAGAAAGAAAGAAAGAAAGAGAGAGAGAGAAAGAGAAAGGAAGGAAAGTTGAATCGAGAGTTCCAGCATTTCCCACAGGAAACAAAAACTTTACATTTTAGATTTTAGACCAAACTGAATTGGACATGTAGCCACTTAACCAATTTTTAATGTAGCCATAAAGTTTGCACCTATCTGATCAATCCATCAAGTAGACTCATTAGATTATAAGTATAAAAATATATAAAAAATACTCTGAAAATAAAATACATTAGTTTCTGGAGAGAGGTTTATTATAACGAAGAGGGGCAAAAATACATACATAAAACAAGACCAATGGAGATAAATGGTCAGTATATATATTTACAGGTCAGATTATGTGGTTTTAAAAAATTGGAGCTACACAAATTCCAAGAACTATGTAGATTGGAGGTAGTCAGGAAAGGGTTTTTAGAGGAGCTGAGTGCAGCCTTCAGTCCTAGGTAGCACAAAGGTCTGTGGTAGACATGACGCCCACATTCACTTGCCTGGACGCACATGCGTTCCACATGCACAACACCAGCAAATGAGACAATTATCTTAAAAGAGAGCTGTGACATATAACAAAAATAGCTTTACTCTTTCTCTTTCTCCTGACCACAAAAGCACTTCCTAGAAATTTTATTTTCTATTCCTTACAGAGGCTGCAGTTGTTTTCTAGTTGTTTGGTAATATTAAAAAGTCGTCTACTCATTCTAGACACAAGAAAAATGTAATTTCAGTAATAAAAATGTCTGTGTTGACTGGATAATTGGAACAGCAAACTTTATTCCAAGTAACAAACTCTTCTTTTATATTCTGGATCTGCCTCAACCTGGAAGGCTCAAATGGAAAGCAAATGTTGCAAATGAGGTATAACACGTAGTACAGGTTTGGTCTTTGTTTGTGGGATTCTGGTACAGAGCTCTTGAAACCGTCATGATTTTCAGCATACAAGGAGAATCTCTGGCTATTCATAGGAAGCCTCTTTCAACCAGAAAACCAAACCTTAATAAAGGAATTTTCAACACGCATGCACATGCACACACACACACACACACACACACACACACACACACACACTCACACCTACCACTGTTGGATAGACTTATGGTTCTTTTATGTTTGCCTGTTTCTCAGTTATGTATTTTTTATAAGAAACCAATATATCAATAAGTAAATCACTTTCCTGAATTCTAGGAATCATTCTAACAAATAATCAGACCCAACTGAGGACATTGTGGGGAACCTAGTGTGCTGCTGGCCTAACAGAAACAAACATGACCTGGACAAATCTGTTGGCATCTAGCATCTACAGTAGGGCAGCATGGTGGGACTGAGTCCATAACCTGTGTACTCTGACACCAACTGTCTGTCACAAAGTGTAGAATCTGACACCAATGGCGGGTAGGAGGTGCCAAAATCAAATGGAATTGTTGGACATTCAGTTTCAAAGCATGGAAGAATTGGTGAATATGAGAAAGACATCTCAGTGGGCTTCTCTATTCCCTACCATCTTTTCTCTGCCTCCACCCACCCCAGACTGCTCTGGGTTTTGATGAGGTAGAAGAAGAAAAAGGAAGCAAAAGTTCTGGTTATTCCCAACATGACCTCACATGGATGCCTTCTATAGCAGTCTCTTCCTGTTACAGGAGATGTTGTGATATCCACAGAAACTCCCCCAATTTAGAATCCCCCCTCTCTTGACAAGGACAGTGCTTTTCTTCAGATTGATCCCTCAAAACCAACCCTCACCCTTCACAGAAACTTTCGAGTCCACCAGAGTTCTTCTTCCACCTTCTGCCAAGATGACTTTATCACTGGAAGTCCATTTTCATTTAAAATAGATCCTGGGGCTGGGGATTTAGCTCAGTGGTGCTGCCACCTGCCTTGCAAGTGGAAGGTCCCAAGTTCGATCTCCGGTACAAAAAAATAAACAATAAATAAATAAATAAATAAATAAAATAGATCCTAGCTGGCTCTCCGGTGTGGCCAAGAAATGACCCATTGGGAATGGCCCAATATCAATGATAACATTCCTATTTTGTCACCTTTCTCTCCTTTGCCACCAGAGAAGCAGCTCCAGCCACAGTCTTGCTTCTTTAAATTTTGTCACTATGAATTACATATCAGGCCTTTCTTTGTCCTTGAAGTCAAACAGCAAAAGTGAAGCTCTCTGAAGGGTCCTCTTAAAGTGTTTCTCACCCTCCCCCATTAGAAGGATGCAGTGCTTCTGCACCTTGATGATTTTCTGGAAAAAAAAAAGTCCTTCCTGATTTCCAATCTGACTTAACCTCAACCTATTGTTGCTGAGCAAATAATCTCAAAACGTTTTTTTCCCAGTTTCTTTACCAGTTTGTCACCAGTGGTCTGGCTTTATATTTTTCAATGAAATTAGGGTAGTAAGTCCTTAATGACTAGGATTCTCAAGCAAACCTGCTTCAGAAAGTTTGTCATTTCAATACTGATCTGTGTGTGTGTGTGTGTGTGTGTGTGTGTGTGCTCGCTCGCCTGAATGCGTAAACTGATAGTGAAGAGCTCATACCAAAGAAAGGGGCTTTGTTAGGAAAGAGCCAAAGGTATGAACAGGTAAGATGTAGCCATCTGACAGTGTACCTGGATGGCCAGTGTAAAAACCTTGGCACTCACTTGATGGGCAGTTGGAGGTTGTTAACCGTTCTTTTCCCAGAGGGATTACAGCCCATCTACTCACTCCACTGGGAAACGATTGTTAAGCATTGGTTGGTACTAGGACAGTAATGATGAGCAGTTTATGACCTGTTTTTTTGTCTGGAAGGAGTTCACAACTTCACTGAAAAGACATAGATATTTCAAAAAGTTAGAGAGCAATGTAAGTCAGTAAACAATGAAAGGCTAATTTAAAGATTATCTGGTCACCCTGGACACTGTGAGCTAAAACTCAAGGGAAAAAGCCAAAATATCAAAGGCAGACATCAGTGAGAGACCAAAAGGGGAAGGTCCCAACAGCTTCTCCTTAGTTCCAGGAATAAACTGAAGGAAGAATAGGTAGGGCTTGTAAAGAAAGAGAAACTTGTCAGGCATAGTGATGCACGCCTGTAATCCCAGCACTGAGGAGGCTGAGGCAGGAGGATCGCTGTGAGTTCGAGATCAGCCTGGGCTACATAGTGAGTTCCAGGTCAGTCTCAACTACATAGTGAGACCCTGTTCAAAAAAACCAAAAAAAAGAAAAAAAAAAAGAAAGAAAAAAGAAAGAGAAATTTGAGTCATGTATAGGAAAATGGATGCACATTGAGACCATAATCCAGATGTACTCAGCTACCTCATCTTTGACAAAGGAGCTGACAGTCTCCACTGGAGGAAAGATAGCCTCTTTTAGTAAATGGTGTTGGAAAAACTATTTCAACCTGCCAAAGATTAAAACTAGACCCTTATCTTTCACCGTGCACTAAAGCAAAATCCAAGTGGATTAAAGATCTAAATATTAAAACAGAAACACTAAACTTGCTGGAAGATAAGTTAGGCAGAACTCTAGAAGACACTGGCATAGGAAAAGATTTTATGAACAAATCCTCATTAGGGCTGGGGATTTAGCTCAGCGATTCGGTGGCCTGCCTTGCAAGCACAAGGACCCAAGTTTGATCCCTGGTACCAAAACAAAAACAAAAACAAACAAAAAAATCCTCAGTAGCACGGGAACTAGCAGAAAGAATCAACAACTGGGATCTCATATTATTAAAAAGCTTCTGCGCTGCAAAAGAAACCATCAACAGAACTAAGAGACAACCTACAATGTGGAAAAAATTTTTACCAGCTGCTCCTCAGACAAAGGACTACTATCTAGAATATATAAAGGACTCAAAACAATCAGCCCCCCTAAATATAAAGATCCAATTCAAAAATGGGCATCTGAAATGAACAGACATTTCTCAGACAAAGAAGTAAAAGCAGCAAGAAAATATATGAA